AGGTTGTTACTTAATGCCTGGGCTTAATGCTCCTAGATGGCGGCTGTAGCAGGCTCTTTAAACTCACGGTGCTGGTTTTCCACCGGATACCATCTGGTTCTTCACCAGGTTACTAAGTAAGAGCGATACTCTTATCAATTGCATAGCCGGAGTGAGCAGACTCAATGTGCCTTTCAGGTGTGTAGGACAATAGAGGATGATCTTATGAGGATAATATAATCCTCTGCACTAGTAATATGCTGATTGTTGGACCCATGGGTTTCCTCTGACTCTCATTTTGTAAGCTAAACACTAACTTTTAACATTCACTAAGATTATTATTCTTAAAGGCTCGAAGATTTATATAGGCTCAAAGATTTATTAACAATCAAACAAGCATGATTTACACAGCTTCACTATTACTTGGAAGGGAATCACTAGGAAGGGCAACTTACACATCATAACAAATGTTCATTAGGAAATTAATTACACATCATAAATTTAACAATCAAACACTGATTTACACAAATTCACTATCAATTGGAAAGGAATCATCTGAATTAGAAACCTATCTATACAGAGGCATCTAATCTAGGAGAAGCAGAAAATATAGAGGAATTTACACAAAACAAATTTTCATTGGGAACTTACTGATTAACAAGATAATATAGGATGACTATTGAGAATAGATTGTCACGAGGGAAACCATAGCTAGAAACAGGTTTTCAGGTGTAAGTGGGGCAACTGTAGTTGAGAGGATATACTCAGCTTTGGAGGAGAGGGCTTTCAGACCTCCCCATGTTACCAGTATTGCAGATCTCCGTTGTTCAGTGTCCATCCCCAGGGGAAGGGGTGATTATGGGTCTGATGGCGGCCCTTCAGTGTTCATCCCCCGGGGAAGAGGTGCCGGTGTCAGTTGTAGCTCTGGAGTTGGGTCGGATGGCGGCTACCGAAGGGGTGGTGGCGGCGGTTCAGAGAAAGGAAGGGGCGGAGGTGCAGGGCAGAGTGTGCCATCACGCGGGGGAGCCGCAGCGCGGGGCGCGTCCGGGACCCCTAGTTGCGGCCGGAGCACAGAGCCCACTCTTGCCTGCCCAGAGCCTCCAGGCGGGGCCATCCTGGGCGCCTCCAGGCGACCGGGCCGGCGAGCCCGGGCAGCGGCAACCCGGGACTGGGCTCGGAGCACCACGGGAGGGATGAAGCGCGGGCCGCGCCGCAGCGGGAATCCAAAGTCGACCTGTAGGAGATAAAACAGCCGCATACCCTCGCCCCCAGGTTAGTAATTCTACAGGTCCTTGCCAGACAGAGAGATTTTGAGGATCTTTACAGAGGACCTGTGGGCGAGATCGGGTGTCAGAGGGGATAAAACGTCGTTCTGCAGCAGTACGACCATCTTTAGCAACCGATAAAAAGTTAAAAATAAAGAGAGCTTTGGCAAGTCTTTCATTTTGGTCACATACTCTAGACCCATCATCTCCCCCCTTTGTTTATTTAAGAGCTGTTTGAGAGTATGATGGGCATGTTCAATTATGGCTTGCCCTTGAGGGTTATAAGGAATGCCAGTGGTATGAAGAATATCCCAAGTGGCATAAAATTGTTGAAATTTAGCCGAAGTATATGCAGGACCATTATCAGTTTTAAGAGCTTGGGGACATCCCATAGTTGCAATGGCTTGGGTGAAATGACGACAGGCATGAGTAAAACGTTTTCCAGAAAGGGCTGTAGCATAGAGAAACCCAGAATATATTAGCCAAATGAAAGCCTTTACTACAGCGGGGACACTTTTGGGTTGGAAGTTTAGTGTTGGCATTTTTGTTTTTTAAACTGTGACAGTCTTTCTTAAAATGTCCAGGTTTACCGCACCCAAAACAGGTGGCAGAGGACGGATGGAGAGCTGCTGCTAATACTTGTGCCTTATGAGTTTCTGTGCCAACATTTTGACATGCTCTAATAGCTTCTTCTGACACCTTACGCTGTTCAGAAGAAAGAGAGTTCCCCATAGTGAGGGAGAAACGGAAAATGAAGGAAAGAATGATAGGAAAGCTCCTTACCTGAAGCCTGAAATCCCTTGAGGGAGCGTACGACAAAGCCCCGTCACTCCCAGGGCTATAGCAGCCTGAATTGAGAGCGTCTGGGAAAGTTCCACCCACGGAAAAGCCCCGCCGCTCCCGGGGCTGTAAAAGCAGACCAAGATAGATGCGCGTCTTATACTCACCACCTTCAGAGATTGAGTGAGAGGGTGTGTACAGCACCCTTACACGGGACACCATCTGTCGCAGCCCCTCACACGGGGCACCATCTGTCACAGCGGCGGTGAATGTCGGGATGGCGGAGACAGTAACCAAACACAACTCTTACAGAGAAGTGGGGCCAGGAGGGTCACTCTGAGGAGTCGACCCCGGCTTCAGTCTCAGGAGTTTATTTATAGTCAGTACAGCAAGCAGTGAAGCAAATAACAGAACAATGGGCTTTGGGTGAATAACAATAAGTTTCGGGCAAGGGAGGAGGAATTCAGGTAAACAAGCCAATCAGTAACGGGTTTGGAAAAACAAGTCGTGACAAGTCTCAACATGTTAGGGACAAGTCTCAACATGTTGTGCAGCATAGAGGCCTTTATATATCCATATTTTAATGGCACATATCCCCACAGCATATTTTTCTATTTCCTTCATCTTACAACACTTATTTAAATATTACACAACATATCTTTCCTTATTTTATTTTTGTGGTTATTTTAATTATTTATATGTTTATTTTTCATATTGCTTCTCTATATCCATGATTTTGGAAATAACAGTTTGTTCTATCCCTACCTGGTTTGTGATTTTTTTTTTTTATTGTGTGGTTTCTACTCTTAAAAACCAAACTTACTGCCGTCGAGTCAATTCTGACTCATAGTGACCCTATAGGACAGAGCAGAACTGCCCCAAAGAGTTTCCAAGGAATGCCTGGTGAATTGGAACAGCTAACCTTTTGGTTAGCAGCTGTAACTCTTAACTACTACACCACCAGGGTTTCCACTCTTAAAAAACACCCTTTAAAATCAGGTCAGAGGAGTTCTCAAAAATTGGGAGTATTACCTTTCATTGACTCATTTATTCTTCCAATTTTTTATATTCTCTATCTTCCCTTCTTGCCTTTTATTATGACTGAATTGTGCCCCCCCCAAAATACGTGTCAACTTGGCTAGGCCATGACTCCCAGTATTGTGTCATCTGATGTGATTTTCCTATGTGTTGGAAATTCTGTCTCTATGATGTTAATGAGGCAGGATTAGAGGCAGTTAGGTTAATGAGGCAGGACTCAATCTACAAGATTAGGTTGTATCCTGAGTCAATCTCTTTCAAGATATAATGGAGAGAAGTGAGCAGAGAGACAGGGGGACCTCTTACCACCAAGAAAGTAGTGCCAGGAGCAGAGTGTGTGTGTCCTTTGGACCAAGGGTTCCTGTGCTGAGAAGCTCCTCAACCAGGGGAAGATTAATGACAAGGACCTTCCTCCAGAGCCGACAGAGAGAAAGCCTTCTCCTGGAGCTGGCACCCTGAATTTGGACTTTAGCCTACTAGACTGGGAGAGAGTAAATTTCTGTTTGTTAAAGTCATCCACATGTGGTATTTCTGTTATAGCAGCACTAGATGGCTAAGACACATTTGAAAGTCTACCTTATTAGCTGTCTCTCTTATATCACTAATAAAAAAAATTATTTTAAAAAACCATCAAGCAAATAATGTTGAAATGAACAAGTCAACTTATTTTCAAATAATTTCAAGTAGAAAGCTTCTGCTTTTCTTCCTTTTACAGTAATCTAATTCAACAGGAAAGGAACTTCATAAAAGCTTAAAGCTGAAAAAGAGAATATTAACCCATCTATATTTTAAATAAAAACAACTTGTAATTCTCTGTACCTTGTTCTTATTTCAGCTGAAGATTCTTAAAATAATTTAAAGCACTTATTCATGGAACATAATGTTATAATATACAATAATATTTCTACATTAAATTTTAACATATTATTAAAAAGAATAGTAAGCCACATATTCTTTCATTACAAATAAGGAGAACTGAAATGGCAAAACAAAATTGACAAAGTTATGATTGGTTTGTGCTGGATTTTACCTAATTTTAATGTAAGTAGTTATTTTTGTTACATACTACATAAATTTGAGGGTATAATGATTTTTTCTTGATTGCACAAAATTCTTCATTGCAAAATACTCCAAATGTATATAATCTTTCAAATATAACTCTCTAAGAACATTTCCACAATGACTATGAAGTAAATAAAATATCTTTTCAAACTTTTGAGTTAGAGGATAGGAAGAAAGTGAGATGAAAGTGACGGAGAGCCTCAGTTTAGGTGACTTACCCAACTCATCCAATAAGCAGGTTGCAGAGCTGTGTGTGGGACCCAGGTGTTTTGTCTAAAAATGCTGCAAAATCTGGAAATATTAGTGTTTAAGATAAAGGAGAAGAAAATCCATTAACAGTTCAGATCATTTTATTCCAGAAAACAATTGTAGTAACGATCTTTAATTGTTCAAAACTCAATTAGGTGTGTGTATGGTCCATTGGTATCCAGCTTTAACACCTGCCTATTCCCATAAGTGCCGTGTTTCACCACAACCCCAGCTTCAGCACACTTACTGTTAGCAGCTAATTCTTTTTCACATAGAGTCACAAACTGGGAATAAAGTTCTAACCCTTCTTCTTTTCCAGAGTTAGAGTGATACTGCATGTTTCTTCCTTTCACTTTCCCTCCAAGAGTGGCTTGAGGAATGATAAGAATGTCGCCAGGCAGATCCAATACAGAGGTGTGCTTGCCATTTTCTGTCTCACTTAATTTCACATTTAATAGTGTATTAACTGGGTGGGAAGAAAGGGAAAACATTCTGAAGTGAAAAACAAACAAAACCATCAATCTTTTAAATAGTCCGCAATCTCATGTTTCATGCTCAATTGTCAGCTCATGCTTCTTACCCCAAGTCTGTACTTAGATTTTTAAAAAGATATTTCATTGTGTTTTAGGTGAAAGTTTACATAGCAAATTAGATTCCCCTTCAACAATTCATACACAAATTGTTCCGTGACATTGGTTACAATCCGCGCAACTTGTCAGCACTGTCACCATTTCCACCCTGCCAGCCCCATTTCCATCCATCCAGATTCCCTGCCCCTCCTTGCTTTCTTATCTTTGCTTTTGGGTAAATGTTGTCCGTTTGGTCTCGCATAGTTGATTGTTTAATTCCTCACAGGTATGTACTTAGATTTTAAAAACCACTTCACTAAGCTAAATGATCTAAGCAAAAATAAGGCAAATCTGATACAGAAAACGGCATGGTGTTTTAAATCTGACATGACAGTTAAGATCACCTAACAGTAAATCCCTGGTGGCACAGTGGTTAAGTGCTTGGCTGCTAACCCAAAAGATCAGCAGTTCAAATCCACTAGCCACTCCTTGGAAACCCTATGGGGCAGTTCTACTCCATCCTTTAGGGTTGCTATGAGTTGGAATTAACTCGGTGGCACACAACAACAGTAAATCCATCAGAAAGGTCTAAAGAATTAACTGTATACTGGAACCTCAAAATATTGTTGTCCCCGGGATATATGAGAAGATTTTGCCTTCCTGGTTCCTTTTTATATTTCATTAAGTAAAGCCCACTGGAAAAAGACCACAACAAATCCTACTCACACCAAATTCTGCTTTATTACAAAGAATATGAAATCAAAATTTTAGTGCATTGATTATTTTAAACTTAGTGGTAGTTGCCTAGAGTTCTATGTTAATGAGGCCAGGTTACAGGTTCAATCCCATTATAAGCCAGCTAATTCTGCAGTTTCGTAACCTCAAAGGCACTATTAACATGGACGAATCATTTTACAAATATAATCCACTGGTAATATTCCAGGGTAAAAAGTAAAAGCGAAAGCAGGGATCATCAGAAATTCATTGTTACTACTGAAAAATTTAAATTAAATTAAAACAGTTACTGGCACTACTCCATATACATACGAGAAAACAGTCATTATTTTGCAGTATTTATGAAATCATACTCTATAACTAATGAGAAGTGTCAAAACTACCATAAAAATCTATGTGTAGCTAAAAACCGAAATACAGAAAACCTTTACAATCTCAACAATAACCGTTTCGAAACAACAAACAAAAGAGATGTTGAATAGAAACAGCCTTGGGATCTCCCTACCTGTATAAAGGTATAAATGATTTCTGCTTGCAAAGAACAGAGCAGTCCTGAAAGGACAAACGGTACAAGAGAGAAACTATATAAACCTCACACTCCTGCTCAAAAATTGGACTAGAAAAGACATGCTTTCTGGTAGGGTAGTCGATGGTTTCAATTAGAGTCTATAGTAAATTATAGCAAGGATTCATCATCCTTTCCCCACTCTACGAATCAGGGAATTAACCTGGTAAAAACCTGCCAAGGTGAACACCCATATGAGTTTCTAAACTATGCATCAAGCACCATCAAATGTCACTTAACTAACATCTATTTTTAAATACCTCTAATTTTCTCCATTACAAACAGGACACTGCTATTTAACCAGCCCATTTATTGACTGCTTCTAAGAAACTATAACTCTCCAGAGCACTTCATGCCAACAGAAATCACTATCCAGCTATCCAGGCCTCAGGCTAGCAACAGACTAGTTGAGTAATTTGGGGTAACAGTGCAGAGGTAAGGACAATTTACTATACTTCCACAGACTCCCTCTACTGGTCATCCATGAGAATTCAATTAATGCTGTTGGTATACCAATTATCAGTATGTAGAAATAAATATAATACAAATACAAAATTATCAGTAAGTATAATTAAAATGAGACAATGAATTAAAGGCATGTTGGAAACTCAAAGATCCTAAGACAAGTTATCAATCAAGTATCTCTAATGATATACGTGGTAAGTTAAGCTTTGACAGGTCCCTGGATCTCAGTCCAATTATACTGAAGATGAATTGAGCAAGATCCTTTATATCTCTATGGTAGCTATGCTATTTCAGACTTCATCGGTACAACTGATTGTTATGTTACCTATGGAGACATGATTTGATTGGAAAGATCTGAATCCATGTAGTAAGTATGAGGTCGGGTTTAAGAGAATCCCACCACACTGGCTTACTTTTCCTCCCGGGAAGTATAAGCTAAAGGTATCAATAATAAATGGACTTAATTTGCTTATAACTCACACCAGCAGAAGGTGCTTCATAGAGTCATATAGCTCTTTACTGAGAATCATAACATATAAAACTTTGTGTTAGACTATTCACTAAAGAAGTTGAGGCAGATAGATGTCCTCAGTGTTTTTAATTCTTATTAAACCACAATCTTAAGCATATATTTAAAGTAAACTCACAAAAACATGTAATGGAAGCCCACAAAACTTCATCACTGTAAAACAAGATACAGCTTGGATATGGTTGGTGCATTTCATCATATTATGATTAAGATTCATTTAAGAACTCACGAAACAAGTTTAGGATTTAAGTCAGAGTAACACAAATTTTCTTCCTGTTTTTGAAGATTTCTACTATACTTTTTAGGGTCAATAAATATTTAATCTAAGGCAAAACATTATATTTAGGTAAGTGGACAGAACGTCCAATACTCAAGTATAAGAACCTGGCAAATCAACCTCTATAATAAATTAAAAAAAAAAAACTAAACCCATTGCTGTCGAGTTGATTCCGACTCATAGCTACCCTGCACAACAGAGTAGAGATGCCCCATAGGGTTTCCAAGGAGCCATTGGTGGATTCGAACTGCTGACCTTTTAGTTAGCAGCCGAACTCTTAACCACTGCACCACCAGGGCTCTGACCTCTATAACAGAAGCCCTCATTTTCTCCTTAAACCCTTCAGTGGCTCCCTATTATCCTCTGGATTCAAATTTCATATTATTAGTTGCTGGCTTTCCATCCTCACCTATCATAACTCCTTTTTAAATCCAGTCAGTTTTTACCCTCTGACAAAGCTAAAAACTAGTCAAACACATTTGATTACTAGTAAAAATTCCCTCTAAAAGCTTTAGCTCTTTGTCCAAGCTGTTCCTCGTTAGGCTATTTACCCGAGTGTCACTACTTAAAATTCTTCTAGTTTAACTTTTGCATGCTTGCTTCAACTAGCCATATGTGTAATTTATATCTCTTATTAATCCAACTACAGGTGCTGTCCTTTACTCATGAGAATATAACTTGTCCCCAGTCGTAGGGATAGCCCCATTATTTCAAGATCTTTCTTTTTCTTTTTACATAATTGTTATGTTTGAGACAGTATATGATTTGATATATCTGAACGTATGTAATTATCACAAGGAAATGTGCAGTGCTAACGGACTGTCCAGCATACTGGAAAGTTACAGGCAGATAAATTATTATTAAGAGACGCCTGAACACTGACTCTGCTTTCTCTGTCGCTGGAGGTGGTGTGGCTTTGGTGACACTGAGTTTGGTTCAAGAACCAGGAGAACCTTTTATTTATACACATTTCCTATAAAGGAGTGAATAAATGGTTAGTGTAAATTCTTCTATAATAATGGTGGAAGCCTCAGCTGTTGAGATTTAATGGAACCCCACACCTTTTACAGACAGCGTCACTGGCAGCCACATGGCCATTTTAGGGACTCTGGGGGCTAAGGAAAACTATAATAAGAAATGTAGCATCTGTTTCTCCCTAGATGGCCACCCTGGTTCCAACAAGTTTCTGTATCCTTGGCTGAATCTCAAAGTGTATTGTGGGTATGTGCCAATCTATAAGCCATCTGAAATGCTGCACGATGTTTTAAAAGAAATTTACCATACTTGCTTACTTTATACTTTGGAATGGACAGAAAATACTAGTTGAAATACTAGTTAAAGCTAACAATAATAGACAGAGTCAAATCATCTCTAACTTCTCTACCAGCACAAGTTAAGATCATGCTTTTTCTTCTTTCTGGTTCATCTGTCTATTGCTCTTCATTCTTAGTCTTAAAAAAGAAACAACATCAAACACATACCCATTTTGGGAAGAAGTTCTTTATCAGCTCCCTTGAAAAAGCACACGTAGATCACTAATCCTCTCTGAACCTACGAGAAATCACAATAGTAAACTCAGATTAGAAAGAAACTTCTACATAGAGATACAGAGCTGAACAAGTAAAGTTTTACAACTGTTACAGGCAAAGAGGCTAAAAGCAAAGGAAGATAAGTTTTACAGTAGATTTGATATGAGAAAAAAATCTTTTTCAGGTTTCAATTATCTCAGTTATCATTTCTTTCAAAAATTAAGTTTAAAATACAGCCAAGAACAGTGAAGTCCACAAGTTATGTCTTCAAACATTTTATTTATAATCAAAACATTGGGACCATCAACCACCTCCTCTTCCCTAAGTAAGCCTGACAGACTTAGAAATAATTAGTTTGCAGGGTCCCATTTATTCAATACCAAGTGAAATCACATTATACCACATATGGTTGATGGATAAGCAATAGTGTGACTAATGTCTTTTGACATCATCATTTATTCTTTCTAATCCATTTGCTCGAAGATAATGAAAATAAGGGTCTGATTCTATTTTAATAAACTCTAGGAAACTGTCCATTTTATTATTATTGTTGTTAATGCTTTAAACAAACGTAGTGATTGTTGTTGTGTACCGTCGAGTTGACTCCGACTCACAGTGACCCTATGGACAGAGCTTAACTGCCCTATAGGGTTTCCAAGGAGCGACTGGTGGATTTGAACTGCTGACTTTACGGTCAGGAGCCTGAGCTCTTAACCACTTCGCCACCAGGGCTCCTAAACATAGTGATTAGGGCTTGGAAATTCCATGTATGATATAAAGTTCTGTCACAAGGTTGTTTGCTATCAGAGAATGTGGCCTATACTTAAGTCTATTTATTTTATATAATGACTTGGATATTTTTTTATTAGCTCCAGTAGGACAGAAACTATTTCCCTTACTTAGTGCAACGCTTATAATTGTACGGAAAAGAGACACTTGATAAGTGATTTTGATTCTGATCATTAGATTTTTTATTTTGTTTATTAACCTCGTTGGCTTGAAGAGCTTAAATGAATTAATATTTGTAAAGTGCTTACTACAGTGCCTGGTTCATAGTAAGCACTATATAAAAACAAAACAAAACAAAAACGTGTTGCCGTTGAGTCAATTCTGACCCACAGTGACCCTGTAGGACAGAGCAGAACTGCCCCATAGGGTTTCCAAGGAGCAGCTGGTGGATTAGAACTGCTGATGTTTTGGTTAGCAGCCGAACTCTTAACCACTGTGCCACCAGGACTCCAAGTGCTATATAAGTGTTTATTAAATGAGTATGTAAAAATAAATTTAAGGGGATAGGCATGATTTCACATTTTAACTTCTAAATCACTTTGCAGACTGTTTTGTATATAAAAGGGACTCAATTTGTCTGTTGCCTGCATTAACATTCAAACTGTACCTATCAAGCTTTATGTGTTATATAAATGGTTTTATATGTAAACATAAATGTAGCTCTGCACTCACACCTGATTTATCTGGAAAAGAAGTCATTTGTAAAAAGTACAACTGTGCTTCTAGAACAACAGGCAAGGACCTCAAATGCACACTCATAATAAGGAGATGTTGAATGATATAGATGTCTGCTCCACTGTCACAGGTCTCATCACCGGCATGATTTCAGCAAGAGCCAAAATCTTAAGTATGTTCATATTGGGACACTTGCAATGTCAGAAATAAGTAATTATGTGCAGAAATAAACACCTTTCTACTCACCCACACCATCTCCTCATTAAGGTATTTTCTTTTAGTTTATCTCAGTAATAGATCTCCAGTTGAGGTCTACAGATTCTTGTCTTCAAGTTAAAATCACTTTCCTTGTAGCTTCTTTTTGCTTGATATATATTTTCCATCTTTTGATTTTTAACTTATTTATATCTTTGTGTCTAGGGTGTGTCTCTTGTAGGCACTATATTGATGGGTCTTATTTTTTGTTTTATTCATTCTGCCACTCTCTGTCTCTTAACTGATGAATTTAATCCATTTACATTAAGACTGATTAACAATAGGCATGAATTCACTGCTTCATTTCGTTACACTTTTTTTTGTAGTGTTAACAGTTTCTTTGTTCCTCTTTTCTGCTGAGTTCTTTTTGTATGTGGATTTTCTTTTCCTATCAGTCACTGTTGTTTTTGTGTTTACTGAGTCTTTTTTATTCTCTTCTTCATTTTGGTGAGTAGATGTATTAATTTTCACTTTGACTTCCTCTCCATATGGAAGTTCTATTACTACACCTTTTATTCTGTTTTGTTTTGTAGTTGTTGTCGTTTACAGCTGAACATCTCTGGTTCCCTGTAGTCAGTTTTGTAGCTTCATTTTACTTTTGTGAAATCTTTATCTGAGTTGGTATCTGCCTGACGCTGTCATGTGTCTTTATCTCAGGTTGTTACCTGATATCGTTCGATCTCTATCTGAAGGGCTCACTTTAATATTTCTTATAAGGCCGGTCTGGTTTTCTCTTTGATTTCCATCATTTTTCAAGGTCAGTTTTGCTGCATATATGATTCTTGGTTTGACAATTTTTTTCATTCAGGATTTTATACATGTCATCCCATTACCTTCTTGCCTGCATAGTCTCTGACAAGAAATCAGCATTCAGTCTTATTGGTGTCCCCTTGTAAGTGATATTTCATTTTTCATGAGCTGCTTTCACAATTCTTTCTTTGTCTTTGGTTTTAAAAAGTTTGCTTACAATATGTTCTGGTGAATTTCTTTTGGGGTCTATAATGTATGGGGTTTGTTGGCCTTATTGGATAGAAAGCTTCCTGTCTTTCATGATATTTGGAAAGTTTTCTGCCAATACATCTGCAAAAATTCTCTGTACTTTTGAGACTTCCGGTAACATGGCACTCTAAGCAGAAGCATGCTGTTTCTCCACAGCAAAGATCCAAAAAACTAAGCCAAACAGAGAAAACAGCAATCCTGAAACCCTAAAACATCAAATGAAGAGATAAAGAACTCAGCCAAGCACCAAATGGAGTGAGAAACTGACAGAGAACGGAGAGCGAGGAGGGATTCATGCACAGGTCCCCTATCAGTTAACGCTGCGCAGATCCGCCATGCTGGACTCCTATCAGAGACCAGCAAATAGGGGGTACGAGAAAGCAGCTTCATGGAGTTTCCAGCAGGAAACAGAACAACCGGTAACCGGCAATACATGCTTTCCCAACCCCACCCTTTTTCACCCTCACTCGGCCTCCTCTGCTTCTCTTGGCCACAGTCTCTTGGCTGGGAAGCATGGGCTGCTTGGATTCTACATACCTGCACTGGCAGACTCCCTGAGTGTCATTTGTTGGCTGCTGGTGTTGCTTTTTTCCACTTCTTTTGATTTCTTCCTTACCTCTCACCACCTCCCCCTCCTCTCGCTCAAATACCTGGCTGCGGGCACCATCTTTGCTTCTTCTTAAGGGGCTGCAGAGCTCCGTTCGGGTGTGGAACTGCTTCCCAGTCTGTGCTGCCACACTGGTGGGTTCCTGGGACTTTTTGTTTGTTTGTTTGTTTGCTCTGAATTGTTTGCTTCTTTTTCTTTTCTAGAGTTGGGAGCCTGTTCTGGCTGGGCAGTGCTATGCGGCTTGGAACCTACCCCCTCAGCTTGCACAGATGCGCAGAGGGATCCCTGAGGGTATTTCTTTTTTAGTGGCGTTTTTTTTTCCTGTTTTTTTGGGGGGCTTTTCTTGTTCTTTTTTTAAAATTTGTTTTGTTTTCTTTTCCCTCTTTTCCCTTTTTGTCTTTCTTCATTACTCAGTTTCTCATCACTCTATACCTTCCTTCTTTTCCTGTCCCTGAATACCTGGAGCTTAATTCCTCCTCGCCGTCTAGCCAGGCTGTACTTCAACAGCTGGGAACAACTTCCCCAGACCTCGCAGCCGTACCGGTGGGATCCCTGGGAGCTTTGCTGTTCTTTTTTCTAATTTTTATTTATTCATTCTTTTCTTTTCTTCTTCCCCTCTTTTGGTTTTTCTCCATTTCATAGTCTCTCATCTCTCCACTCCAACGGCAAACTCCCCTAGCACTCTTTTTTGTTTGTATGTTTTTGACTCCTGTTCCTCTCTCCTCTCTCCCATACCCCTTAGCTCCACACATCACAATCTCCCCCCTCCCTACCTGCACCGTGTGCACTTAACATCACATCACCAAGCAGCACAGACATGGCCTACTGGAACCTACCCTGCACTGATTACTAACCCGCCCTGGTGGCTGTAGTAAGTGTCAGAGACAACCCATCCCAGCAACTCTTCTTCAGCTAGACCTGCCCTGCTGTACCATATCTGAGCAACTGACCCTGCCAATTCAAGAAGGAGGCGAAAAGTATTGTGCCCACAGACAAGCACAACAAAGAACACACAGCCCACCTGCTCAGACACAGCCAAATTAAAAAAAAAAAGGATGAAACAAACAAATTTACAATCAATAAGCAAGAAAAATAACTACTGAATGCCCCGAAGACAGCTGACAATATCAAAACATTTACAAAAACAGGAAAGGATGGTTCCTGTAGACATTAAACATAAAACACCATGTCTTTCCAATAGAAGAAAAGGCACTAGAACTACCTGATAGTGAATTCAAACCTCTAATACTCAGAATTATCCAAGAATTGAAGCAAAAAGCAGACAAAAAGGAGGAAAAAATAGACAGATTCATGGAAAAGGCAAACAAATTCATGGAAAATACAGACAAAAAAATGGTAGAATTCAGGAAAATAATGCAGGAACAAAACGCCAAAATAAATTCTCAACTAGAAATTATACAAAAACAACAATTAGAAATCCAAAAGACAAACAACAAGATTTCAGAAATGGACAGTGTCATAGAAGGGCTGAGGAACAGATTTGAAACAGTGGAAGACAGGATCAGCGGAACTGAAGACAAACACTTGAATACAACTCTGTTTGAGGAAAAATCAGAAAAAAGAACGAAGAAAAATGAAGAGACCCCGAGAATTACGTGGGATACAATCAAAAGCAAAAATCTGTGAGTGATCGGAGTTCCAGAATAGGGGGAGAAAACAGATGACACAGAGAGGAT